CGGGCCTCCTCGGCTGAGTTTGGGCAGCGGGTTGATCGTCTCTTCCGTGACAAATCCCTCAGGGTTTATCGTCCTCCCGACGTTGGCAGCTCAAGGTTTAATCTGGGGGACGGGACGTAGGTTGTGGAGGGCCGAGTCGTTGCCTCAGAGAGCGCTTGGAGGGGGTGAAACAGAAGGTGAAGCTGCGCGCCTGGCAGGCGAGTGGATGGAGCCTGGTGTGGAACTGGTTCGGTTTGTGCCACAGTTGGGAGTCTGAGCATCCCTGTGCTCCTGAAATCCTGCACCTCCCCTGCTCCCTTGCTCTGCACACCTAGTGCTGGGGCTACAGCAGGGAGAGGAGGTCCGAGGTTGTGCATAAAAAGGTCTTAAACGTGGAGCCATCAGACGCTCCGTGTTGTCGTCCCACCTGATGTTTACCTGTGAAATATTTTAAATACCTGTTATGATTGTCATAGTTGCTGCTTCAGTTCTGTAGCGTTCCCCTAGGGTGGGGGAAGGGCCCAGCGTGAGAGAATTGCAAAGGTACTCGTGTTTCTTTTAGGAGAGTGTGCTGATTTCGCTTTGCATTCTTTAAAAAACAGAAACATCAGCTGCTCATTTGTTCTGGTTTGGGTTTCTGTGCTTAAAGAAAACCCCGAGGCTACCAGAACTTGCAGCTGGGAACGACACAACCCCACCCCCCCGTTCCACTTATCTGATATTTTGACAATAAAACGAGATACAGGGATAAAGTAATTATAGGTTGGGTTTTTTTAAAAAAAAGACAAAGAGGAATGCTTTAACAAGGAGGCTGAAACTTGATTATTTAGTGGTGTTGGTCTTTTGCGTGGACTGTCTCTGCTCCACAATGTCAAGTATCTCATCCCCCTGCACCCCTTCCAGTTCTTGGTTTTTACCTCTGAGTAATTAGGTGAGTTAGCAAAACAAGTAATCACCAAAGCCACTAGGACAAAGTTAAATCTGCTCTGAGTTCCTGAAGATACATGACCTGGATTTACCTAATACAGAAACTTCTTCGTGTTCCACTGAAGCTCCTCCTCTTTCCTGAGGAGATTTATCACAAAGCCACTCTGCTCTTTCTGGAATGCTGCTATTGTTTGAAATGTTGTGTGGCTCTATGTATAAATTAAGGTTTTATATTCTGTATTAATCATTCATATGCAAGTTGTTTTCTTTGTTGGTTTGAGAGAGAGGAATTACCTTGTATGGTGTAGGGTAAGGAGAAGAGACAAGGGATCCTCTTTAATCCCTGAAGCTTTGGACATCTGAAAACAGGAAAATTATTAATTTCACAAGAAAACTAACTTGTCCATGGTTCTTGTCTGCTGCTTATATCTAATAGGTAGTAAATAGATTCTTAGCATTAAAATAGTCCTTGAACTTGTATCATTAGCATAAATGTTAAAAGGTGCCCCTGCCTGAGTTTAGCAGTTCTAAAGTTTTTTTTAAGTCTGTGATTCAGAAAAGAAAAGGCTTGAGGAAAAAAAAAGAAGTCAGTAGTTCAATTTCAGATTAATCACAGCATATCTGTCTGTTAGTTGTAGTTCTTTGCAAATGGCATTTTAAGAGTTATTTGATTGGGCAGTATGGTTCCAGACCAAAGGTCAGGGTCATCATACTCATAATATTTGGTGAGTCATAGATTTGTCCTGGAATCCAATTCTGGAAGACATTTATAGGCCATTGCCAGTGTGTGATCCAGTGGAAGCTATTCCAGCTGGGGGAGAAAATGTATTCACCTGCCCTTTTTCAGCTGGGTTCATTGCCCTCTTGCACACTGTGAATCAGTGTTAGGCTTTTGGGCATTGTAATGTCTCATCCAATAAAATGCTCTTAAGTTGTAAATTGGTTCCTGTGAACCTTTGGGAAAGCATCTCATTAGGAAGGGAAGTGGCTTGTTGTTTTTTTTATTATACCAGGTATTAATTTTATTACCCTCAAGTGAGAACAGGATCTTTTATGGTGTTTGTGAGCCTCTTGGTCTGAAATATCTTTGCTGGATTAGGCCCTTGTTTCAGTTAGTCTGTCCATGAGCAATAGGACATCACTGGCAGCAGCAAGTAGTAAACTGATGTGGGATAATGTGCTCCCAAAATTCACAGCCTTAATTCCAAAACCTTTGATTTAAGCCCAAAAACAACCATGGTGGCTTTGCTTTGTTGCCATGTGTGGTGCTGATTGTACCTTTAGCTCTAGCAGCAGGGGTCCTGTCCCCATCCAGTGGAGGTAACCACCCAAATCCATGTACCTCCCAGGTGTGTGGGCACTTTAACTGCTGGTCTCAGCACCAGCCAGAGCTACAGCCCTTCTGCATAGTCTCTGTTGAAATGAAATCCTTTAAAGGATCCATTTTGGGAAAAATTAATCTTGCAGTTGCAGCGAGTGATGGAGGGACGAGAAGATGGGGCAGGGAAGAGCCTGGCTGGCAGTCCTTGGAATCTGTAGCTCTGTCTTTCTCAGGAATCCCTTATCAAAACTTCTTTTTAAAAGAGCTTTTTCTCAAAGCTTCTTTTCTTGGGATGCCTCTCTGTTTCCTAAGGGTAGATACCTATTATTTCCATGCACCTCTAACAACCCTCTATAGGTGTCTCTGCTCTTAAATACCAGTCTCAACCTGTGCAGGTTCCTGTCACTCCTTCACTCTCCTCTGTCCCTCATTCTTAGTTTTCTTGACCCCTGCAGTTCTCTAATACCCTGTTCAGAGAAGCTGTCCAGAAGAATAAAGAAGGTAGACTGATCTGACATGCAGAAAAAAGAAATCAAGTTGACTAGAATTTGTGCTTGTTCTGGGCCCTAATGAGTCTCCTTGATCAGCACTGTCTGCAAAAGCATGTTGAGCAGGGGAAGCTGGAGCATATTTGGTGAATGAAGAATGGTTACAAAACAGTCTGATTCTTCTGTCAGTTTTCAAAATTCTCTTCTCTCACACGGGCAGCAATAATGCCACTTGGAAATAATCAAGTTAATTGCATTTCAAATAGGCTTTTAGGGAATCAAGTCCTTAGATTCAGCTGCAGCTTTTCTGAGGCTTTTCTGTTGCTTTTCCCTGTTTTCTAGTATGTTCTCTCCTGTTGTGTAAAGAACCTTTCAGCAGCAGAGGAAACTAATGCATAGCACCATTAGATATGTCAGCTGATTAAGTGAAAAATACCTACTGAGAGTGATAGAAGCTGTTATCTTGAACAGAACAAGTGCATGATTTTAAAATTGAAATACATTTTTAAGCTGATATCCCTTTTACAGTCAGCCTAACAAGGTGCCCAGGCTTTTGAGGTAGAATTGGTGCTACTGACCATTAATAGGAAAAGAATTATCAAATGTAATCACTGAGGATATGTAAACACTGGGGAACATGAATGTCTAGTTAAAGTTTGATAAAGTGCTTATAGATGACTTTATGACATAATGCTGGATGAATGAAGTAGATTTGAAGAGGGGAGGTGATGTCTCAGGGAGGGTAGTGGTTGTAGGAAGGTTCCCTGTCTGTAAACCAGACCCCAGGCCAACCCAGCTTGACCTCATGGAGAAATTTTTTTCCCTGTTTCCTTTTGTGTGGTGATTTTTGTCCTACAGTTTGCTCCTTTGTCTCGGGAGGAAAGGAGTTTCCATTGTCAACGAGTTGTTTGTTGTTGTGGCATTTCTGTTAACAAGCTTTTCATTTTCTGGTCATAAGTGGAGGCCTTATCAATGCCCAAGTGGCTGATACGTTTGTTACCCTCAACATAGTTTTAGCAAGTGAATAATTTTGATAGATTTTATCATATATTTGCAGAGGCACGTACATTTGAGAGTAGAAATAGTGCCTTTTGTTTTGTTGCATGGGGTGCAGTATTGGTAGAAATGTCACAAAGAAGAGAGAGGTTATGGGAGGTGATTGTTTTTGTGGACCTTTTGTGTGTTGCAGGCACTCAAAGCACAGTGTTCTGCTCTTATTTCCCACCCTTGTACAAGTTGCATAACATCTAAGCATTTTCCAGACCTGTGCACTCAGTCTTTCACTCCTATTTTTATAGTTTTAGTAATTTATTTGTGTTTAGGGCAAGTAAGCATTTTCTTCCCCTTCTCAGAGATTTACTGTCTTTATGGAAGTGAGTATTTCTCCCCATTAGCCAGAAGCCTTAAAGCAGATCACCAGTCTTGGCGTCTTTGTGATAGTTCTGTTTGGATGAAGAGACCTTAAATAGTTTTTCCTCTGTGCTTTAAACATAAACAGGCTTTTCTCTAGCAGATACAGTGTTCATCTTCCCAGTTTTGTCCTATTTCTCTTTAGCAGGCATGCCTGAATTATATGGGAAGAAAAAAACCCGTTTTCCTTTAGTGTCTGAATTGCTGGTGTTGTTCTGCTTTTGATGAAGCATCTTATTTTATAGGTGGGCAGAAAGACTGCAGAAAATATTTCACACAGTTTTAATCCTGTTTTCTCAAGCAGTATTTATTTTAAGGAAAAAAAAGAGATTGGATTTTATTATACTATTAATGGTTTTATTTAGTTCCTTTATCTGGAAACTGTTCCTTTGTGAAGCTAGAAAAGGGGTGATGCTCTGATGGTGGTAAAACTGATGGTTTTATGGTGTGTTTTGAACTTTCCTGTAGTTACTTCAGCTCCTACTAATGCTCTGTGCAGAAAGGCAGCTTTTTCTGTGAAGTAAAAATAAATTGCTGCCTTCTTGAATTGCATCAATTTTGAATCAAGAGAGGTGGAAATAACCTTTGCAAAGAGGAGGAGAGCAGGGGAGGTGAGGCAGGAACATTGTCCGTGTGTTCGACAGTGTCTCTGTGTGCTTGCACGTGTGAACTGCATTATCAGGGATTGAGTCTTACTGAAAAAGCTTGAGTATTTGGTGCAAAAATCAAGAACAGAGCATGCACATCAAGGATGCTCACTGACACACCTGAGCTTACTCTGCATCACTTCCAAAATTAAGACCTTTTATGTGTCACTCTTCCTTTCCCTAGATGGGAATGACAAGAATAATTGAAGACTTTTTTCTGTGTTTCAGATTGTGCAGTGAATGTCCATAAGAACTGCAAGGGTTTACTGGGTGAATGCAGCAACATCAGACCCAAGGTTGGTGTTGAAAATTCTTCTTTTATAATAACAGTGCTTGACATTTAAGAGTTGCAAGTCTTTTAATTTCCATCAGTACAGAATCCTGCCTTGTATCTTCAAGACATTGAA